AGTCCATGACTCCTGCCGTCGCCGGGCGTGAGTGTTGACGTCTCCTGAATCGTCACCGTATCTGTCGAGCCGTTACCGCCGGAAGCGCAATCCTCCGAAAGGCCGTAATGCCTCTTGGAGCGCATGCGTACTGAATGAGATGGCAGTCCCAGGGTCGTGTCCCACTAAAATAGTCCGCTGCTACTGTGAAAAAAAACGAAAAAGGAAAAAAAGAAAAGAAAAAGAAAAAAAAAAAGAAAAAGAAAAAGAAAAGGAAAAGAAAAAGGAAGAACCTAGTGGCGACCGTTCGCTGGATTCCGTAAACCCGTGCCAAAAAAACCACGACAATCCCAATGAAATTTTTCGCAATTCCCGGACCCTTGGCGGGGTGGCAAACTGATTGCGATCCTGGTCCCGAGGACACTTTGTTCAGATGCTCATACCTACGTGAAAGTGTCGCACTACTCAGAATCCCAATAGTGCCGGGTTCCGTAGAGACTTTATTCATTAACCCATAACTGTCCCCGTACTCCCCCGCGGGGGGTGTACTTATAGGTGCCCCCATGGTGGGAGTGATAGAGAACGAGGTAATTCTCCTAAGTATAGCGGGCTCCGTTAAAACAAGGGGACAACAAAAAAATGACAACCAATGGAAAAGTGATAAACAAAAAAGACAAACAAAAAAGCGAAAAAAAATTCTCCTTATTTATGTCCATATATGCCTACCTATATTTTTTTTGAGTGCCTTTCCCTTTTCAGACTTCCCTCCTTTCGCTTGCTTCTTTGTTCCCCGTGGATCCCTGTACATGTGTGTGTGTGTGTGTGTGTGTGTGTGTGTGTGTTTATAGATTTTCCCCACAATAGCCCCAATTCCACCCAGATGAATTGAGCAGCAGCTGCCCACATCCCCATGTGCCTTCACGGCCCACTTGCACGTTATTTCAGGAGGCAGAGTAAAAGGAAAGGTGCACACACACATGCACACACACACACACACGCACGCACGCGCACGCACACACAGACACACACGCACACACACACACACACACACACACACACACACACACACACACACACACA